CAGAATTCAGAGTAAAAATATTTTTAAAAGATGTTAATCTTACCATTTAATTTTAGTTTCTCTTAAAAGGTGGGGTGGTGGCCTTCATTTTGTCGAGGCAATGGGTAATTAGCATGGTAGAATTGGCTGCAATAGTGAGAAGAGTATACCAAATAAGATAAAAAAAAAATGAGAAAGGCAGCAAATAAGAGATATTATTTGAAAGTCCATAGATAAGTGCCACAAGTCCTTTCTTTCATGGAAAAAATGCATATAGTGAAAGTGGTTTAGCCACATGGTGAAAAAAAAAAAATATGAAGTAAAAAAAATCTTTACAAATACAACTATCAAGTAAAATACTGAATCTTGCATCATTGCAACACCTTAGGATTAGATCTTGTGTATATATTAGGAGGGTAATTTGTTCACTAAACATTTCATGGGAATAAATTTATTAAATAAAATCTGTATAATATGTAAAAGCGAGAATGCGTGCAAGATTGGAAGGAATTGAAACTCACTAGCATTGTGTATGCTTTAACAATTAATTAAATCTTTGAGTCCGGACTGCCCTTGAACATACGGTTCAATCTGTGATACAATGCAATGTTATGGACAACAAATATATATGAAACATAGCAGAGTCAGATCTTGGTCTCGGTTTGCATCTTACGAAAATATTAACTTTCACTAAATATACAAATGGTACTACTGCTAGTTATAGCTGGAACTCGAATGGTATGGCAATCAAGACCTAATATCATTGTGCTAATATCCTGCTCAACTTGAAACGTATAGCAAGTCGTCAAGTCATAGTAAATTTCCTCACTACATGGCTGATTGGTACAAGTACATAAGCTGAAATAAGTGCAACCCATATATAAAGATTACTTGTACCATGCTAACCAATATCTGAAAACACTGGACAGCACCCGTCTGATTACTTAAATAAATCATAGCTAGAGTTCTAGTTCATTCACAAAAAATTATGTTCTTTAGTAATTTGGAAACCTTTAGTAATTGTCTACCACTTAGTAGTTATCAACAGGAGCTAGTTCTGGTGGTTAACAAGATGTGTCCTCTAGAAGAGCAACATTTTATTGGCATACATAAGAGTGTCACATCAAACTAACCAAATTCCTTCACGACTATCGAAACTATATGTAAGCTCGTGATGAGAAATTGACGCACAAACACGACAATGATATAAGCGGAACAACGCGGTTTTTACTCAAATCAACACTACTACTACATCACCCGGCAATTATGAGCATAGAAATTACCGAGGGGCAACCCTAACCTAACCCTAGATCCCCAATTTGCAAAGCACATAACAAGACGGGCACAAAACCATCGGGGAAGGAGCTCACCCCAGCGATGCATCCCGATCTGGATCTATAGTTGTTGGAAGAGCACGACAATGGCAGGGAAGGGGCAGCATGGACGTCCACGACCTTGGAGGGGGTGCCCACCGCCTACAGGGCTCGGCGGTAACATGTGGCAATGCGGCTGGCCGTGTAAGCGCTGGCTGCGAATGATGGCCGGACTGGCGGTGTGCCCATCCATCTTCTATTCTTGGCGGCGGCGGCGAAAAAGCATGGCAGCGTGAGCCGGCTAGGGCATGGCACTGCCTAATGAGGGCGCACGACGCTGGGGAGGAAGAGGGGGGGGGGGGGAGGGACGCGGCGGGCAGCACGAGGAGAAGCTAGGAGCAGGGAAGTCGCCATGGGAGGAGCAGCAGTTTCTGGGGAGGCAAGGCGGCATAAGACTCAAGAGAGAGGGAGCCGCGAGAGAGAAGACCAAAGAGAGAGAGATAACGAGGAATGCACAGGATAGGGGACGAGATAAGGTGTCTGGGGCGTGGTGCGTGCGTGTCTGTTGGTGTGTGCGTTTGGCGTGGGCCGTGTTGTGTGAGTGGCATTTTCTTTTTAATTTCTTTTTTTTAATTATTTAATTGCTTAATTTGCTCTGACGTGTGAGCCTTCTAAATTTTAGGCGTCAAACGGGCTAATCATGGGCGCGCAGGCCCAATTCAATATACCGACCGACCAACCGACCTAGTTAATCGGTTATACCGACCGACCGCATGACGCTGAACCAAAATAAAAATAGCGACCAACCTTCGGACGTAATATTAAGATACAGTGTCCGACCGTTTGCCACTAATCTATACCGACCGACCGTCCAACGCTATTTCGATATTTTTAGCAACCCTTTGTTGGACGCCAGTTTGGGCTGTGGTATAGTGTATGCATATATCTACGCCTTTTCTAAGATAATTTTTTTTGAAAGGAAAAAGAAAAATGACAACAAATACCCTCTATATACTACTAGGATGTTTATAATCACGATAAGGAACACCGACCCCTCTCTCTAGCTCCCCACTCCCCACTCCCCACTCCTGTTCCTCTGCACATGGATGCGGTCAGATCATACTGTATTCAGAAACGCGCCATGCCTGGCCCCAAATGCCATCCATGATCAGATCAGTCATCAGTTCCATGCGTCATGTATAGCGATGTGTTGTTGTCCATATCTTGTGGCTCTTCTGCCATCCGAACTGAACCACAGAGCCACACACTAGCTGGTTCGTCAAAGATGGATGGAACCATGGTAACAGTCGGACAGAGTAAAGTGCAAGGAGCCAAGCAAGCAACCGTCCAATTCCATGTGGTTTGAGTGTTGGCGACGACCAAGCAAACCTCCCCGTTCCCCGGCCGTCGTCAGCTACCGAACACCCAAGTCCAACGCCAACGCGCGCATGCAGTGCTCTTAGGGAAGTGGCCGGCCGATGTGACTCTTTTCTTCGGAATGGGCCCCTGCATGCAGCGTGCGTCTGTCAATTGATGACGGTTGATGGCGCAGCCAATCGAACAGGGCGTATAATTTTATTGTACAGCTAGCTCACAATGCAATGTTCTAGTACAAATATAGATGATCTGCGGTTCGTTGGTACCATGCAATAGTAAAATATCCCCTCTCTAGGAAAAAAATTAAGTCAGTTTTGAAACAACTTTGACGGTAAATCTTCGCTATTTCCTCATCTAAAAAAGAATGGAATTCTCGCTCTAACATATCAGAAAAATAGCACAAAATACAAAAGACACATGTACCTCTTCTATTTTTATTCTCCATATGTGTTGATTGGACAAAAGCAAATGATTGTACCTATAAACTCTATACATTATTGCATACTACATCTATAAAGCATGTATTTTTAAGATACCATATCTACTCACAGGCTAGAATTGCGTTCTTTTTGAGAGCCAGGACCAGGAGTGCTAGATTTGCATTCTTTAAGACTGAGGGAGTACCATATAGTATATGAACCCATATTATTTAACACTACCACGTACTATGAAAGTACTTTTGAGGGATAAATACAGCACATATATAGTGAACATGTTTGCAATCAGAATATTTAGCAATACAACACATATATAGTGAAAATGTTTGCAATCAGAATATTACAAAGTACTGCTGAAGTAGTTCGAGCGAACATGACCATAAGCTTCAGACTGGGCGTCTGATTTTAGACGTATGAGGCTGGAACGCTGGATGTAGCTGCTGCCTGGCCGCGGCTCCAATGGCCAAGCAAACACGCCCGTGGCAACAATGTACTCCATTGCATTGCATGGTACATACACAACCGAGACATGCATGAAGCGTAAGCAGTGCGTGATGAGATGAGATGATGGACGATGTGATGGTGGTCAACTGGTCTTGCTGGCAGTGGCAGCCGTGAAGTTAGGGCGTCTCCAAGACTCCAATCATGATGGGACGCACGCTCTGCTCTGCGCTGTTCCGATCTCTCTCGATCCTGTTTGCTCGGCTGATAAGCCTACGACTAAAAGTACTGTTGGTTGATTTATCGTGAGAGAAAAATAATATTTGTTAGCTGAAAAAGTATGACTTATAAACCGAGCGATCAGGCTGCGAAAGTACATTGCTAGCAGCAGAGAGACAAAATGGCTCTCCCGGCCAAGCAAGTTTCTTGGAGCCTGTGCTGGTAGGGCAAAATAATCTTACCTGCCAACCAAACGTGCCCATATACTTCCACATAATAAGTATTTTAGTTTTATTTCAGTTAGGGTTAGCTTTGCCCATGGCAATGCATGTGCTGCGTTTTCATATGATTTCTGCTTCCTCTGCTTCTACGGTGAGGATGCAACATCTAGGGTCTTCTCCGATGAAGCAGTAGTGAGGTATGTTTTGCTTCCTCTAATAATGGAGGGGCTGGTGTTCGATCTGCTCCCTTGGACGAGGTTCTTCTCCGACCTATCGCTATCGGTTCTGTCTAGTTAGTACTTGGTGGCGTCGTCGCTCAAACTTCCTCAGAAGGGAAGGTTTCTTCTACCCATCAGGTGATGTTGCCTTGTTCGTTCATTGGTCTCAATGCATCTTGTTGGCACTGCTCGTTGTGGCTTCAAAAAGGGTAATGGCCTTTAGTGGCCATACCTTGTCAACTGAGGATATGTCAACTCCGGTTCCTTCGACCAAGCATGGCATTGACGATCGGAGAGGAAGAACCAGGGATGTTGATGGATAGGACCTATGATAGCACCAATATAATTTCTTTTTATCAGTCTCTTTTATGTAACTTGTATACTCATTATAGGTATGAATGAATGAAATCACCCCTACTCAAAAAACAGAAAAAAGTACGGGTCGATCCGAGCAGTGCATAGTTACGTTTTCTGAAAAAGCAATAGAACTATATAGAAGGAATGCCAACTTACTAACAAATATGCATGACTAGAACTGAACATGCGAAGAAATGATCAACAAGAGGGGGGAATGAAAAGGCACCTACTAGTAGCATTTTAAAGAACCACTACATTATTGTTGCTACAGACCGGTACGAAACAGTTTTGGTTCGGCATAGGCTTCGAGTTGATGAAGGCATGAAGCACACCAATGACTCAACAAAAGGCAACGTCCAACGGGTCGATCGACTCAAGATCCCACGAACGTCTGGTGCGCTCAGCTTTCATCACTCGAGCTCGCTCCGCCTCATCTCATCAGCGGCCTCCGGACTGGAGACCGAAGAAGTCATAGAACGGCAGCGCGGGCTCCTCCTCGCCGTTGCAGTTGGCGCTCTCCAGGCCCTCCGACTCCTCGGAGACGGAAGCGGACGCCGTCGCCGTCGACGCCGACGTCAGGGCGGAGGCGCTGCCCCCAGCGGCTGCAGCGCGCCCCTTGTCGCGCCGCAGCACGAAGGTGGGCTGGAGCGGGAACAGCTCGAGCGTCTCGCGGCGGGGGCCGACGCGTTCCGCTGGCCCGGAGCCGCCGTTGGCAGACGGGAAGTGCGGTGCTGCGGCGGCCTGCTGGAACATGGCGGCCGGGTAGTGGTGCTGCTGCTGCGCCGCGGCCGCGGTCATCTTGTCCTGGTACTGGTACATGACTGTCACCTGCTGCTGCGGCGGCGGGTAGTAGTAGGCAGCATTTGCAGGGGGCGCCTGCGGCGCAGGCATGTAGAATGCATTCCTGTACATCACTGCAAGAAACGTGTGGTGAACTGGTGATCCATTTGACAACAAGTTAGCGAACAGATTAATCGATGCCATTTTCAAGCATAGCGTAACAAGACTAAACGGAACCACCAACCGGTGCTACAGATGGTACGTGGTAGTAACTTTTTTCCCTAAACAAGGGAGGAGCTAATTAATTACTGCATGCCATGCTAGTGTGCTACCAAGCATCTGATGATGATGGTTTAGCGAACCGACGAGACGAAAAACACTTCCAATGGAAGCCAGATTTTACCAGCCTGCGTATCTGCAAAGAATTCAATGCTACTCATACTACAAGACGAAGTGATGAGCAGACTAGACGAAACCAAACGTACAGATACACGATCATTTTTTTACGGGGAAATGTTTGCTCGTCATTACGGGTCAGCTGACAGGCATTGAATGCACAATGGGAAAAAGAAGCAGGCTGAGGAATGATGTGGAAGGCAGTGTCTGGCCGTTTCGGTGGCTGCTGAGCTCCGCAGGCATGGCTTTGAATTCCTTCAAACCTGGGGCAAAGCAAAGCATGCACGGGGGGACACGGGACAGGAGCTACAAAAGGGTAGCGGCAGCAGCAGCTACCATAGGCCGGCAGCGTTAAATCGTGTGACCATGACTACGAGGGCTCGCTTCGCTAGCACAGTGCTCAGAGCATGAAGATGGAGAAACAAGAGACAGGCCCTACTACGGAGCCACACCACAACACCAGGCGAAGGAGCGCCAGGAAGCTGTAACACTTTGAGCAGCCACTAAAAGCATACAGTACAGTACAGGCAGGTCATGCACATGCATTGCACACGCACACATATTATTGTGAGCACAAGAAGCAGGCGTGGGCACGCATGCACCGTGGATCAGCACAAAATAGAGTGGACTGCTAGTGTGGCCAGTGCTACGACGACCATGTTCGCCTCGTGTCCCTGCGCCAGTGGGCCCACGGATGACCATGCACGTCAATTGCCCGGTTGTCATGTAACCCACACGCGCGCTCGCTCGCAAAAGAAACCTTTTGACAAGGAAACAGCCAAGAAAAAGACGGCTATTGGCGCAGGCATTATATGCAGCAGTGAGCAGTGCAAACGCCACCACGTCAGCGTTGACCATCGCACGCGTGCGTGAAAGCCATGAATCGGCCGGAATGAAATGGCAAGCCTTCAATCCTCTCCTTCCATTCTAAACTCGACGTGCAAAAGCTACGACAACTCACGAGCAAAACACCTTGAGGCGACAATCGATATGGATGGAAGACGATCGACGGGAAAGTTAAATCTGCGACCGCTAGCTGTGCTAATAGTAAAAGAAAGCACAGAGACCAATCTTGAGGTGATGATAGTATACGTACCACGCGCGCCGCCGTTGTTGTTGTTGCATGCAGCGGGCGACGGAGGAGGAGGCGGCGGCGGCATCGCGATCGCGGGCGGCGCCGGCGCCGGCGCAGACGACGGGACGCGGCCGTGATGGTACGGCGGCGCGGGCGGCATGGAGAGCACGGGCAGCGGCGGGGGACGGCGGAGGAGCCTGGTGAAGTAGGCGAAGCTGTCCTGCTTCTGGCGCTGGCGTTGGCGGGCCTTGTGGTTCTGGAACCAGTAGAAGACGTTCTTGCCCTCGATGGCGCCGTGCTCCCGCAGCCTGCCCGTGATCTGCTGTATCTGCTCCGCGCTCGGGGTGCGCAGGCCGTGCTCGTACAGCCCCTCCAGCACCGCCACCTGCTCCTTGGTCGGGTTCCACCGCGCGTTCGCCAGCGCGGCCGCCGCGGCGGCCGCCGGGGACAGCGGCGGCGACCCGCCCTCGTCCTGGGCGGCGTTGGCGGCGGCTTGCTGCTGCGGCATCTCCATGGGCTCTCGATCTGTCTCTCTAGGCCTGCCTGCCTGCCGGCTCTTGGGGAGGAAGGAGGGGAGGAGGAGGAGGAGGCGATGTGTGCGCGGCCGGTGTGGGGGCGTGCGGGGTTTTAAAGCGTGCATGAGAGTGTGGCGGGGCGCGTGTTCGTGCGCTGTAACGGCAGCCGCGTTTCGGTGTGGGCTGTCGCCTTGTAGTCAAAGGCCCGGGATCGGCCTGGAGGCTGGACCCCTCTCGTGTTCCCGCACGCGCGCCGTGCAGCCATGACGTCGCGATAAGCACCGGGACGTCCGACTACTCGGCCGGCGCGTGGGTGCTGCTGCACGATGCATGGATCGCGAGCGTGCACGGCGCCGCGGCCAGCCAGGCCAGCGTGTACGTTTCCTGGCTTTTGACTGTGATAACAACCCTCTGCCAGCAGTAGAGGATGCAACGGTCACGAAGCAAGCGTGGCCCGTGTCGATCGATCGGCTCCGAATTCGGATCGGTGCACGTAACCACCACCGGTGTGAAGACTGCGCAACGCGGGCACTGAAAACAATGGGCTGGCCTGTGGCCGGGGCCGGGAAGGCTGCGCAACGCAGGCGATCGAGCGCGCCGGAGATCGATGGCGAGTGCGTGACTGCGTGCTCGATGGCACGAAGCTCCATCGGCGCCTCGGGAATGAAAGGAAATTCTTTGCTTGTGCCAGCACCGGGCTTTTCGTTTTTACGGGTATTTCGTGTGCCTGGCCTGTTGGTCACCTAGCTGTAGTGGCTGCTGCTGGCGCCGTACAGTTTTTGCTATCCTTGTGAAAGTCTTTTCTTTATGGAATGGAAAAGCGTGTCTGGGAGCAAGACTGGAGTGAGTTGTTCCGTCGCATTTTTTTTTTTTGTTACTTTAACTGAATATTACTAATATGGAGAGCTTCAAAGAAAGAAAGAAACGGGCTTTTGCATTTGATTTCACGGACAGGTTGTTGCTCGTCGGATGGAGCCTACGATTTGATACAATTGTGAGGCTTGACTGAGATTCTTTTCCTCTGCATTGCGTGTCTATTGGTAACATTCGATAATCTTTCTGTTGTTTGTATTGGTCTATTATTTGCCTTTGTTTGGATCTTCTAGCTTAGCATACTAATTTTTAGCATTATTGGTTAGCGAGTTTCACCATGCTTACTTGCTACTCCATCCATTTCAAATTATAAGATATTTTAAAATTTCTAGATATATATAGCTTTTGCCGTGTACTTATATATTTACTATGTATCTAAACATAGCATATATCTAAGTACATAGCAAAATTTATATATCTAGAAAATCTAAAATATCTTATGATTTTAAATGGAGGGAGCAGTAGCTAACTCTTTTTTAGTATAGAATAATTTTTTGATCCAACTATCAAGGATACTAAAGTTTATTACTCCTTTTATTTCAAATTCTAAGGCTCTGTTTGGAACGTAGAAATAAAAAAACATAGAAATGGAAAAAAACCATAGGAATATGAGTGAGTAGAGGTTCAAAATGGAGGATTAAAAAACGTAGGAATTTTGTGGGAAAGAGTGTTTGGAATAGAGGAACCGAAAATTTCAGTTAGAACATTAATACCGCTTGAACATGAGAAATGGGGTACGGTGATGATATTTGTTTCTATTATAATAATCAATAAAGTAGGCCTTAGACCAATGATCCTATGCATATGGACAACCGTCTGTTCACTGGTTGGTTTATGGGCTAATAAGTTTAACTGGTGCTGGTTTGTTGTGAGAGAAAAATATTGTACCATGATTGATAAGCCATGACTGAAACCAACAAGTGAACAGGCTGAACAGCAGTACCGAGGAATGAGCTAGAGCTCTTTTGTTTTGAGGAAGGCTAATAATTTAGCCAGCTACTCGCTATAAGTCCATGCCATGTCATATACAGCCAGTTATATAGTCAACTCGTATTATGGCTTAGCTATTTGATTGGCTGCAGTAGAGATTGTAACCATTTAATGATCAGATGTGCATACAATCTATGAGTACTGTGAAGGTAAAAAGAAACATTGGCTTTTGGCCTGTTCGCTTGGTCGTAAATGATCGTAAATTTTCATCCGAATAATATTTTTCTCTCATACCAAACCAGCCAGCAGTAATAATCCACGATCGTATACGATCGTATCAGCACCAGCCGAAAAAAGACTGTTTGCTAACAACTGGCTAGGAAAAGGTGTTTTTTTCCTCCTACCTTGCGTTGCAGCCGATGAGAAGTTTAGCGTTCGCTCTATATTCTCTCTCTTAACGTGGCCGTTTTTTTGATGACATGGATCCTTTTCGTCAGCTGAAACACGGTTATTATACCTGCTCTTATCTCCTCTCTGCTCTTTTCGCCTTGCGAAACTAAAGCTCAGTCTAGATGTATTTTTCCTACGCTTTATGAAGGGGACTGAACCTTTCCTTTGGAATTGGAACGAGCGTTTTGTGAAGGGGACTGAACCTTTTTTTGGAACTCGAACGAGCGTTCCTCCGGTCCAAACACTACCCAAAATAGAGGAAGTGGTTTTCTCCAAAGTTCGTGTAAAAATACTGTATTTCAAACGGGGCCTAAGTGGTTTTGTCTTTTTTATAAGAATACCTATATTTTGCTATGCATCTAAATATAGCGTATAAGTGTCGTGCATATAGAAAAATCAGAACCACTGTTTGGAACTGATATGAGATCTAAATATTTTTTTGAGGGGAGATATGAGATCTAAATAGGGCCTAGTCGAATGCGCGGTAGTAGAAAATAATGATTAGATATCTTTTTCGCTATTACAGCATATCCATTATTCCCCATCATAAAAGGTCACTGCATGCTGTACGCATGGTAATCAGCTTACAAACAGAGAAGCAGTGACGACCAGCCGATTTAATATCGGGACAGAAGCAGGAGCCAGGAGGCCATCACCGCTTTCGGCTGTACCAGTTCGTGCTTGTTTCAGTTTGCTTGAGTTTATTCTCTCTCACATAACATTATTTAATTATTTGAAATAATCCAAAATCTACATATTCGTTGGCGAAGGGCTAGCTAGGCGTGCCGCCATAGGTAGGGATTGAAATGGCAAGTCACATTGGGAAATGGAGACACTGTCTTTGCTGGGGGGCATGCAGATGCATGCGAGGCGAGAGGGCAGCAGACCAGACGGTTCGGCAGGCGGATATTGAGAATCTCGCTTCACGTTTCCCCGTGATCCGGCGTGTGATAATGTGAGGGTGGAGCGGAGCCGAGACGTCGCCGCGCCAAGCCATTACTCCTCACAAGCCGGGCCGGGGCACTGCAAATTGGCGCTTGCATTGCCGCGTTGGGAAGTGCCACTGCCACGGCGTGGGCGTGGCCTGGCCGGCTAGCCCTGCCGTAGAGGTAGACCCGGGGCAGGAGGCTACCCCTACCCGCGCCTTCGGCCAATCGCCTCCGGATGGCGAAAACTTCTGTGTTCGATGCATGCAGTGCACTGCATCGTTCTGACTAGATAGGGCTGGCATGGATTGGATTGACATTGGTTGGCTCACGGTCACGGCAGGATCCGCGCAAAAGATTTGCCTCATTTGAGGCGAGGAGCCGAGGAAGGATCGGCATCGCCCCTCGCCTTCGAATTAAAAACTGCTGCGCTGCCTGCCTCTGCCTGCCCGAGCCGGTTGGGAAACGCGACGCCGTGGCATTAGGCGATGTAAACAGCACGGGGCAGGGAAACAGTCGAGCGAGCCACGAGCACGAGCCATCGGCGGCCATGGCTTTGCTCGTACGCAAGCACACGCACAGGGACCGTAAGATCCAACGCCCGTGAGCTAGACGACGCTGCAAGGCGACACGACATGAGGCATCCGAGCCAAACATCATGTTTTGTTTGTATTGAAAATCCGGACATGATTATGCAATTAGTTACTTTTTTTACCTACATTTAATGCTCTATACATGCATCTAAAATTGATGTGATGGAAAGAGAGTGCGCTGAGGTAAGCCCTTGTTTAGTTGCGAAATTTGGATTTTGGGCAACAACAGCTCGATCGGATCAAACAAAGCAGTGGAAGTGGAACAGGGACACCTTGGAGCAGACATTCTGAATGGGTGAGACCAGGGACACGAGAAGCGTACGTACAACCAAGTTTTCAGTGTCCATATTTTAGTTTTGACTTCTTTGGCAATTTCGGATCATCCAAAACCACTACTACCACCAGAGGCCAGAGCCCCAGATCAAGTGTTCAAGGCAACGCTCAAACTTTAGCCCAGATCAAGTCCTTGGATGCTATAAAAAAGGTCCTTGTTCCAAAGTCCAAACAGGGAAAATGGGCCTCATATATGTAGAGACTATTTGCTTCGAGGCCTGCATGTCTAGTAAAAAAGTGTTGTTTTAGGAGTTGTCTAAAATTTTAATAAAATCAGCCTCTCTAGGCAAGTAAACAGATACTAGTCCGTTTGGTTAGAAGCCTGAGAAGTTTAATAAAGAGATAATATGTTTTCTTGTGTATATAACCTTACTTATATATTATCATTTGAGTAACATACACAATTAAAATAAATGAAAAATAAATAAATCAATGTTTTTTATGAATTAATAATATAATAACTTACTAACAATTTACAATATAATTAAGGTATGGATACGTAAGACAACATAGAAAGGTGTTTCGGCCACACCTATCCCTGAGTAAATGTTTAGGAAAAAAAAAGCAAGGAAAAAGGCAGAAGAGACTATTATAAATCTATAATACATTACCGTAGTGATTAGCCTAGGCAGCAATGTCCTACAATCAGACCTCAGACGGCCGTTTTTGTGGCCTGGCTGAGGTTGTCTTTGCACATATATCTAGGTCTCCAACCAAATGCTCCAGAGTGCAAACCAAACAAGCCCGTAATGCATGCGCTGGGTTAAAGAGTAGCTGCTCATTCCAGTGTAAATTTTGCAACCATAAACTAGGAGGGCATGTCACTACACAAAAGAGAATACATCGTAGCTCATCCTTATTTTCCCCTCAGCTTTGATTTGGCGCTACACAATA